TGATTGGATGTAAGGGTACAATATATTTTTTTATTTATCTATGAATAATTGCAGTATGTATATTTACAATATAAATTGTGAAACCTATTGAAATATTTTCTAGAGAATTATTCGAAAAGACTTCCAAAATTTCATAAATTTGGCGTAAAAGGACGGTGGGCATGGATAACATAAACAAGCTCCGTTGGAAGTTGGTCATGATACTATTTGGCTTCAATTTTTAAAACAGAATAAAAAAGTACTAACACCACACATAACTGTTTTATCCAGGTTTTTATTATAAAAAGTGGTAAATTTTGAAAATGTTAGTATTGTCGGCTATGGCAGAATAAATAGTACCGTTTTCCCTATACTGAAGATAGCAAGGGAATTCAAAATCAATCAGATTTCAGTTATATTATACTATTTTCAAGCTTTTGATTAGAACATTTGATTTTTATCACAAATAATAGAAATTTTTCCCTGAGAACAATACTGTGTTGAGAAAAGTGCTGAGTCATCATAATAAGTCAAATTGATGGGTACTGATATAAAACTTTATTCTAGGATTTCAATATTAACTATATTGTATAAAATGCACCAAACTATAGTTCTTTTGTATTTGTTTTCACCTTTCGCAATGATTAATTCAATTGGAAACACCAGAATTCAAGTCGCGACAAATATTTTTAACTGAAATTTTTGCCTTTTTTTGCTGTGTAATTCCCTAAATGTATCACTTGGGTATTTCTCTAGACATAATCTATTAAAATGGGAAATTGTCTGGTTAAGTTTGTACTGTTTATGGAGTAAGACAATATTTGGTCATACTAGAAGCATTTTCAGTGTTATAATTGTCCATCTAAGAAAAAAAGAGGCCCACTTGAGGCTAAATTTAGATAGAATTTATACTCTCCTGTGTAAAGAATTGTTCACAATCTTGGCAATTCATGCAGCAAATATTTCAATAGTGCTTCATTTTGTAGTTTCTATCTTTTATTATATCAGGCATATATGATCTTTCATTTTCTACTGTTTGAAAGGACTTTTGTGGGAAATTAATACTCCCAAGGGACATAATTCAGCTTTTTCATAGATTAATACAGGCAACAAACGCAACTTCACAGCTGAGTATTTTGCATATTTAATGTTTTAAGTGTCTAATATCTTTGTTTTATCATCTCAAGACAGAATAATGGATTTTATAACAAGCTCTGAAATTTTGAACCACCATATGGCATATACTAAAGCATGGAATGGCGATTAGTATGAACAATCTTGAATTTGTGCTTATGTTGTAAATTTTGGATAAAATGAATACAAATTAAATGGAACCGTCATTTTTATCTGTTTAAATGGAACTGTTTATTATTCTTTTTAAATAAGATAAGATATGATTGGATACAGGTTGTTTATTAAGCCTTATCTGAAAGAAGCAGAGAAAGAGGTAAACCAGCATGTAGGGGTGGGGACATAAAATGATCCATGTTTCTTTAAGTAATGGGGACATACAAGTATTTATTATAGCCAAGGTTTTCACAATAACCCAGTATTGCATTAATGGTGTCATAAGAATTCTTTATATCTTTATGTCACAGTATAGGGAAAACGGTACTATTACATTTTCCCAGCATTAGGTTGGCCTTTTGTGTACCCAAGGCAGGTGAAGGAAGTCAACTTGGGAGCGCTGTGATTGGATGTAAGGGTACAATATATTTTTTTATTTATCTATGAATAATTGCAGTATGTATATTTACAATATAAATTGTGAAACCTATTGAAATATTTTCTAGAGAATTATTCGAAAAGACTTCCAAAATTTCATAAATTTGGCGTAAAAGGACGGTGGGCATGGATAACATAAACAAGCTCCGTTGGAAGTTGGTCATGATACTATTTGGCTTCAATTTTTAAAACAGAATAAAAAAGTACTAACACCACACATAACTGTTTTATCCAGGTTTTTATTATAAAAAGTGGTAAATTTTGAAAATGTTAGTATTGTCGGCTATGGCAGAATAAATAGTACCGTTTTCCCTATACTGAAGATAGCAAGGGAATTCAAAATCAATCAGATTTCAGTTATATTATACTATTTTCAAGCTTTTGATTAGAACATTTGATTTTTATCACAAATAATAGAAATTTTTCCCTGAGAACAATACTGTGTTGAGAAAAGTGCTGAGTCATCATAATAAGTCAAATTGATGGGTACTGATATAAAACTTTATTCTAGGATTTCAATATTAACTATATTGTATAAAATGCACCAAACTATAGTTCTTTTGTATTTGTTTTCACCTTTCGCAATGATTAATTCAATTGGAAACACCAGAATTCAAGTCGCGACAAATATTTTTAACTGAAATTTTTGCCTTTTTTTGCTGTGTAATTCCCTAAATGTATCACTTGGGTATTTCTCTAGACATAATCTATTAAAATGGGAAATTGTCTGGTTAAGTTTGTACTGTTTATGGAGTAAGACAATATTTGGTCATACTAGAAGCATTTTCAGTGTTATAATTGTCCATCTAAGAAAAAAAGAGGCCCACTTGAGGCTAAATTTAGATAGAATTTATACTCTCCTGTAATTCTAGAGAATTATTCGAAAAGACTTCCAAAATTTCATAAATTTGGCGTAAAAGGACGGTGGGCATGGATAACATAAACAAGCTCCGTTGGAAGTTGGTCATGATACTATTTGGCTTCAATTTTTAAAACAGAATAAAAAAGTACTAACACCACACATAACTGTTTTATCCAGGTTTTTATTATAAAAAGTGGTAAATTTTGAAAATGTTAGTATTGTCGGCTATGGCAGAATAAATAGTACCGTTTTCCCTTAAATAGCCTTTTCTAACTAAAAATCAAATTTGCGCGGATAGGGTTTATTCCGGGAATATGTCTACTTTTAGTAGTCCACTGAAGCTTAATTCTTCGCGAGCAAAGACAAGCCGTGCTTCAAACAACTGGAATCTTTGCATTATATGTCAGATTTCAACAAGTGAAAAACTGTCCTCTCTAACTGCAAAAGGAAAGCAAACCCTTACTTATGCTGTAAATACAAGAAAAATTCTGTTTCCTTCTACCTCATAAATTGAAAACTAAGTACACTTCTGCTAAACTATAGCGTAGCTTAGAAAAATATTATGGGAAATCAATTGTAATTAAGGCACAGAAGGGTCAAGGCAGGTCTAATATATAGTATTCAGTAGTTCAATCACAATTTCTGAAGCCATCCAATCAGCTAGCAATTTAAAATCTGAATTGAATCTGTCAGAAATTGAAACAGAAGTTGAGACAGCAACTTTAAAGTAAGACCAGACATTGCACGCAGCTGCACCAATACTTCGTAGTCAAATGCAGTCCTTAAAAATATCAAATGAAACTTACCCAACACCATCTGAAATATCTTTGGCATATTCAACACAACACACTCCTTGCTTTGACAGGCTTTTACAAAATGGTATCAGAGATTAAAGCTGAATTTTCGTTTGTAGCCTATGCTCCGGTCATAGATGCCAAGCCTAGCGACATGGCAACAGTATTTACAACCAGACGTTTTTCAATCACACATTATAAGACTCGTAAGATTTCATGGGCTTTCCTATTTAATAGCAACATTTGGTAAGTTATGGGCATCAGCTGGGCTTTATGACTTACTTGTTGACTCTGGAATGTACGCTTCTTATACAATAGGTAAGATGCTTGTTGGCAACCAGTTTAGTCGTGGTGTTCGAGGATTAACCCTAACCCTAGCCACCACAAAGGATGCGAATCTTGTGAGAATTCCACCATGTGAAAACTCGATTTGACAGCACATTGTACGTGCAATGCTTCAAACGCAAGTTTGGATGAATTCTCATATTGCTAAATCAGCGGTCAGACTTCCCAAATACTCCGGTTGACAAGAGTGTTAAACGGGTTGAGGGACCTATGTCAACAGATTTCTTCAAGACCTTGTTTGTACGTGCAAGGGTAAAACAGCTTGCAATTTAAACTGTGTATGCAACCAACAGAATTTGGCGTGTACCAGCATTTGTTTGTGTGAAGGGTCTGATGGGTGTAAACATTATCTATCTCACCGAGCAATATATGAAGAAAACGATGACTGATGTTAGGTATTAGAAAAATGCCATGCATGCACTTTGCTTGTACAAGTACCCTTATAGCCACTCTTTCTGAGGTGTCCATATGTGCTTCTGTAAGGCACAATTCCATAAAACTTCTAAGTTCATATGGCTAGAATATACGCTCACCCTTCAGTCCTTCATTTAACTCATTTATTTCAATTGCCTAGTGAAATATTTGTCACTGGCAACCGATATATATCAAAGCCAAAACCAAATTGAATTTGATTCTTTTTTATGAAACCGTAAAATTTAGAAATATATCTTTAGATGTACATGCGTTGTTAAAACATTTAATTGAGAGTCGGTTGTTTTTCCGTCTTGTATTTTCTTATTGTTGCTAGTCTGAATTCTCTTAAAATGGGCATTTGGTGCTTTTATTATTTTCAAATTTAGTTTAAAATGAACTGTTACAGTTTATTCCATCATTAATTTCTTGTCAAGTAAACAATTCAGCTAATATTTGCTGACTTTTTATAACCTCTTGTGAAATAAATGAACACTAGTGAAATACTCAACCACTAACCTTTGACCTTATTTTTTTAAATTGCACCATATTTCGATTCTACGACCAGGCAAAAATAAAGTATAAAGATTTCTCTACACGAAAAGTCATGATTTAGCCTGCAGGTAGGGTGGTCCATTAAAGTTTAAAATTTTGTTGGCTTGGTCACTCCACTAAAAAGTTAACATACAGTCTTCAAAAATAGACAGATCACGGCCAATCGTACCCAACACGGACCTCCTTATCTGATAAAACATAGGGAATAATGAAAACGCATTCATAATTCAACAACATTCGTTATAAATATAAAAAAGAAGTAGACGCTATCAGATCAATGTACTAATTGTAGTGAACATGTTTGGACTATAAGATTAGCTAAAACTTACGTCATTTATTAGTGTATCTGTTCATTCTGTTATTGCCATGTTTATAGCACACTACATTAACTGTGTAAGAGATAATGTCGATATTTTATGCTTATGTTGTATGAAAATCAATAATGGTCAAGGAAATTCTGGTTATTCGAATACCATTGTAGGAAATGATATAGATATGTCGTCATAGAAACAAGTTTAAATAATTACTTCCCTAAAACTGCATTTTGATACTTTTTTTTGCTGTTCTATTTTTGATCGGGGCTGTCTGAATTGGGGAAATATAGAAATGAGGATAGTGTAACCAAATTAAATTCAGTATTGACACCTCAAAAAATCAATGAAGCCGTGATGAAGGCTAAATATAGAAGTATAAATAGAGATTCTAAACATAGAACTAGGAACAGAAAGATTCTTAACTTATTAATTAGGTATTTTTAAGGTTAAGTGCGGTAGATGGTAGATTTTCGAACTCGTCGCTCTTTTTATCGTTTATATATATGTATAAATGGACGCCCTCACGTTGTACTTTATTTCTATATACTGCTCCCTAAGTGCTGTTAATACTTTTTGTGTTATATTTTGTCTTCACGTGCAGCAGGCCTACATGTGTTTTTGTTTGTGTGTGAATGTTTTACAGTTCTTTAGCCTCAATCTTGTTTAATTTACCGGTAATGGTGTTAACACGCACAACTACTTGTAGTAAGTATGTTACGAATTACAACATATAATATAACGGGGCGTTTTTAATTATATTTTATTTATTACAAATAAAGGTGTGTGTTGTAAGTATAAATTAGAAGCATTAAAACATGTAATGGTGTGTGTTTTAATTATGTAAATACATGTAATAATTGGTGTTGTAAGTATATGTTACGAATTTTAACATGTAATGGGGTGTGTTTAATGTATTCTTCTACATTAAAAGGTGTGTGTTTCAAATATGTTACTACATGTAATGATGGGTGTTATAAGTATATGTTACGAATTTTAACATGGAATTTGGCGTGTTTAATGTATACTTCTACATTAAAAGGTGGGTGTTTCAAATATGTAACTATACATGTAATGATGGATGTTATAAGTATATGTTACGAATTTTAACATGTAATAGGGCGTGTTTAATGTATATTTTTACATTAAAAGGTGTGTGTTTCAAATATGTCACTACATGTCATGATGGATGTTGTAAACATATATTACGAATTATAACATGTAATGGGGCGTGTTTAAAGTATAATATTTCTACATGTAAAGATGTGTGTTTTAAACATGTTACTACATGTACATGTAGTGGTGCGTGTTGTTAGTATGTTACGATTTTTAATGATGTGCTGTATGTATGTTACTACATGTAATGATGCATGTTATGTTTAGTTATACTCCACGCAACAAAGTTGCGTACTGTATAGTCATAAATGTTTTGACCCGTCCGTCCGTCAGTTTGTCAGTTCTGTTCTTGTCATCCCAACTCCTCTGAAACAATGTAGATAATAAGGACATGCTATGTAGATGTGCATATTGACAGGAAATTATGATTCAATGTTTTTTCTAGGAGTTATGCCCCTTAAAACTTAGAATTTTGGCCTACATATATATACTACTGCAACAAATTGTCATCACAACTCCGACAACTCCTCTGAAACCACACCACATAATTTCATGAAACTTTGTAGATAATAAGGACATATTATGTAGATGTGCCTTTCGACAGACAATTATGATTCAAAGTTTTTTCATTAGTTGTGCCCTTTTAAACTTAGATTTTCTAAATATACTACTGTGCACCACAGTTTGTCAGCGCAACTCCTCTGAAACCAAACAACAGAATTTCATGATTTTTAGTAGTTTATGAGGACATACTATGTAGATGTGCATATCTACAAGTAATTTTTATCGGTTGACTTTTGTAGAAGTTATGAGTCTTAAATATGATACAACATGAAGTGGTGCATGGTATGTATGTTACTACATGTAATGGTTCGGTTGTGTATGATACTACGTGCAATGGTGCGTGTTGTATGTATGTTATTACATGAAATGATGTATGTGGTAACTATGTTACTGTTTCTGTTGCCTTGTATATTTACCTCTAGATAATATAAATGTGTGGTATGTATGTTGCTTTCATAAATCAAGAATATAGTAATCATATCAATTCCGTATTGCCAAGTTTTGAACACAACCAAAAGGAATTTTGATCAATATTTCTGATATGTACATATCAAGCAATTTTGAATTTGATTATGCTCTATTATTTGAGCAAGTATCTCGTGGTACTGAAGATAAGCCAAATGATATTTGTTTTCAAATAGATTATCAGTTAATAAACTCGTGTGTAGCTGGTTTTGCAAAGTTTGAAAAGTTTGCCGTTTATGGCACCCGATTGAGATCAGACAGCGCTACGACAAAAAGTGATAAGTCGGATTAATATCCTCAATGATCTGAAATGTCCTAATGTATCATTGTTTGAATATAGTCTTATACGTTTGTAACGGAATCCTACATCCGGGAATGGTCCGGAGATTATCAGTTGTACTTATGTTGAATGTAGTTTTGTATCCAAAACAAGTTCAGTGTAATAAATCTAATAATAATAGTTAAAAGTAAATAAGTATCAATTTTTGAAACATATGTTTATTTCTTTTAAAAAAAATAAAGAAAAGCAATACGTGAACCCGAGATCGCTGACTGGTCACCAACTAATTGTTGCCGAATTTTTGTTTGCTTTTGATTTGAAATAATTGACTGTGAATAGAAATAAGATAATAAAGATGTTAAAACACCTTTGTTGAAAATATGTAATTTTTTGTAAATTGTGTGTAGATTCTTGCACAATTGAAAGCAATGTTGGATAGTTACGAATAGAAAAGTGTATATATACCGCTACTATTTGAATTTACATTTTAAGGCTTGACTATTCTATCTATTACTTGGGAGTGTACATCATTTTTTCATAATCCTAATCCTATAGCAAATTCCAGTTTTTGCAAACCGGATGTCTAATGCAATTTGCACAAACCAATCGTAATATAAATTTAAGCACTCAGTTCGTTTTATAATCTGGATGCATTTATTTTATCTATCATATCTTCTTATTGAAGCTGTCTGTACTCATAGTTGATGTTGTATAGATAAATTTAAAGTCAAATTTCCATGTGAGGTGAAACCCTGTGACATGCAACTTATAAGAAGGTTTCGTATATTTTTCTTGAGAGTAACACACCAGCTTCACTGGGACCTCTTATATATTAAAAATTATTTTGGTCTCATAAAACATCTCAAATTTTAAGGATTTCCTGAAGTTACTTAAGGAAAACTTGGTTTTGAAGAATATTTTCAGAAGTTTTATGAATACCTGAACATACTTTCAAAAGAACTAATTTATATAAAAAGATATCAGGATTAAAATGTTGCACGCCAGACTATTAAAAAAAATTTGATGATTATTGTAAAAGATTATTTACGTTTTTTGTGAGATGCAAGAATTTAAAATCCCTGTAAATTGAAACAGTGCAAATATTTCATTCACTACCGTTTGAGATTTAGATACTAACTTATGTATACGCATCCCTGCTCATTGGTGCTCATATGTTGCATATAATTTTCATAAATGTATTCACTGTTCAAACCTGTGGAACATAATACACGTATATATAACATCTTTAATTGTACTCTATTAAAGATAAATTTAGTCTCAGCTTAAACTTAATAATTTTAATGAATATTCTCTTGATCTGGTAGTATCTTTTAAAGAAATTAAATATTTTTGACAGATAATCCTTTTGTTTATTTATCTTTCTGCTTTCCGACCACTATGTTTCCGACCTAAGATAAATATTCATAACATAAATATCGTTTCGTTAATTTTCTTCATGCTTTCCGACATTTTCCACGGCTATGATTGAAGTACAAAATATGACGTGATAAACGTTCAAAAATAATCAGTTTACTCTGGGACATTATATATCAATAAACCATTCCCAGGTTTATTGTCACAATACACACACAACACGTACAGGGACCGTCTCAAAGTATGAATTATATAATTGCGTTATCATTATACTTGATATACAAATCCTTGGCATTATTAAAAACACATGTTTTGTCAAAAGGCAAATAGGTTCTAACATATAAATGATCTTTTTGATTGCAACCTAGTCTTTATTTCTTTACTATCTAATCTAAAATGAACTTTGATTGTTGAAATATAAAATGTCACGTGGTAGCCTATCCATAGAGGGACCGTATCGAGGACATAGATAACTACCTGTATAAATAATCGAACATTTTCGAGAAGTTCCGAGAATCTTGTTTCCGGAAATATCCGAATGGTCCATAGAAGCTACCAAAACTCACCATTACATAGGCTTGAACCCCTCACAAAAATGAAACAAAAATATACCCATGTTATAACCCCGAACAGAGCTTATCGCCGAAACATCTAATTTAGTTGTTGTTTCACTCCAGATGCTAACCTGAAAATTATGGCTTTGCTACTATAAGGTATAAGCAGGGACTTTCTAAGCTAAGTTAGTATAGACTGTCCCTGGTATAAGCAATGGTAGTGGTAGGTGTTGTAAGTATGTTACGGATTACTGAACATGTAATGGTGTGTGTTTTAATAATGCTACACTATGAACTGGAACGTGATATATATGTTACATTATCCACATGTAATTGTCCGTGTTATGTATGTTTATACTATGCGGAATGCATGTTTGTCTTGTATGTATGTATGTTACTACTTGAAATGATGCCTTGTATATATGTTACTACTTGTAATGATGCCTGGTATGTATGTTACTACGTGTAATGATGCCTGGTATGAATGTTACTACATGTAATGATGCCTGGTATGTATGTCACTGCATGTTATGATGTCTTGTATGTATGTTACTACTTGTAATGATGCCTGGTATGTATGTTACTACATGTAATGATGCCTGGTATGAATGTTACTAAATGTAATGATGACTGGTATGTATGTCACTACATGTAATGATGCCTGGTATGTATGTCACTACATGTAATGATGCCTTGTATGTATGTTACTACATGTAATGATGCCTGGTATGTATGTTACTACATGTAATGATGCCTGGTATGTATGTCACTACA